TCGTCCTGGATTTTTCCTAAAAATGCTTTTAGGCCTCAACATCTGTTGTAATGTTTGTTTGTCGTGTTTTTGGATCAGAGGTGAAATATGTTTATGGTTATGTTATACGTTTTTCTTCTTTTTTCTTAAGAGTATTAATGAAAACGATCAAATATCGGTATAAGACGTTTGAAACAGAATCACCTATTGCCTGTAACGTGGCTTTCAATCTAATTTTAGTATGCTTTTTCTACTTTTAAACAAAACTTTCTTTTTCAATGGCATTGATCTTGAAATAGTGGTACCAAATTAATCAAAATAAATACCCATTCGTTATTTAGTCTTTCATACAAAAGTCAATACGATTAGCCATAATTTTGTTGTTGTAATTTCTATAGAGAGTAAAATTGAGAGGATGACGGTGATGTACACTAGCTTTGTTTCTAACTTTTAAGATCAGTGGTTTTCTTCACTCGGTTTCACTTTAAGCTGTATTCAATGACAGACGGGCAGTTTCATAAAAAAGCTACCGGGTTTTTTTTCGTCAAACCGGAGACCTTTTGATTACTAGGTAATCAATATACTCAGATACATATATATTTAACCAACCGAGCAATTAATATTCAGAATAAGTGTTCAATGTACAAAAAATAAATAGTTTAAGACACAAAAATTGCAGCAAAATATTCTTAGTATTCAACGTAATAAGTTTTCAATGAACAATAAAATAATGCTCCTAACCGTGTAAGTACTTGATTCGTTTTTTCAAGATACTAACCGAGTATTTTGCCCAGTAATCAATATACAATATAATCGTTGAAACTGACCAAGAATGTCTTCACATCCCAGATAGTACAAAGACGTCACAGCTGTACTGGAAGCCATATTTGAATTCGCCGCCGCTGCCTCCTCTCGGTCAACAGTCGGAAATTGGCCAGTTTTTCCATCGTGAACGACGCCAATGTGCTACTGTCAAGGTCGTAGTCTGTCATTGTCGCCGACCATTCATACAACTGGAGGTTCATTCGTCTCTGTATGGGATTGAAATGTTCAAGTTGCAATTGAAGAATTCCTGAATATGATTTTGAATGTGCAGCATAGTGGGCAGCTCGAAAGCGACTTTCTCAATACATTTTGTTCAATTTAATTTTACGAATCTGAGAGATTATTGCAGAGGTTCAGCTCTAGGTGACGGGAGTTGATTAACACGGAAGGATATATCTTCATAATAGACCTTCTCCATAATTTTTTTGTAGAACTACAGCTGTATATCGATTCCAGAGCACCAGGTCTCGGAATTTCCACATAGCTTATAGAACGTGGAACCTCTCTTCTGGAGTCATGGATTCAAAGCCATCACTAAAGACTTTTATCCATGTGATTATTTCATGGCCGGACAGTCTATATCCTACATTACGCTCAGATCTACCTATGTGGACAACGAGAAAAGTATAGATCACTCAAACGATGACGACATTCACATGCCCTTCCATCAACAGCCATTAGAATGTAAAAATATTTAAATAGTTCAAGCAGTAGGTTCCTCCGAGTTTCTACTTCCTTCTTTTCCTCACCAGGGTACTTGAAATTGCAGGATTGTTTTGGCTCTACGGTAAAAAGTGTGTACCCAGTACATTTTTCCCACCAGGAAAATATAGATAATGAGTCAAGGGATTTTCATATATGACGATGATGACTCGTGATATTTCCCTATTACACTTCTAGTTTCAGAGAGAGCAGAGCATAATTCTTTGAAGATGGTTAAAAATTTTAAACAGTGTCATGATAGTTCGTAAAAACTATGCGATCGTTTCTGTAGTGTTATCAACAATCTTGCACAAACATATTTTGAAAAAACATAGTAAAATATCACTTCTTTGTGATAATATTTAGTCATATGCAACACGTAACACCCTTTCCTTGAAACCTTATCTGTGTGATTTATATTTAGTAACCGTAGACTTTATTATACATGTAATTTTCTGTTAAAATAATTTAAATCATTTACATTACTGACTAACCATTTCTCCAGATTCTATCTCATCTGCTCTGCATGTACCTTTTGGCTACATCAGATCCAATGCATTACCAGGATGTAATAGCATTGACTATATACCATATAGCATTGGTAATCTATGATAATATTCATTTGTTTCCTAAATAATTAATTTCCACGCTTGACTAAACATTATGAAGGACAGCTTGTTGCACAACTATCTTATTCGTTTAACTTCACAAAATATTTTCTGATGTGTAAAAGGTAATTTCTGATTTGTAATTAATTTATTTTGATGTATTGTATTCATATGTATTCATATTATAAGGGACGATTATTTCGAGCTTATAATGGAATTGGTGTAATTTCAATGAAATTAGGACTACAGAGGTGGGGAGAAATCCTATTTTTCATAGGAGTCTTTGAAATATAGTCTTTTTCAGTTAGCTTTGAAATATATTGTTTAGACCAAATAAATTTACTGTTTTTGAATCCCTACTCAAAATTATGATAACGAGCCAATTTTATATTTTATCATGCAATGAAGTACGTTATATACCTAACAAATCCTCAACAAACCAAAGACCCAATTAGTACAGATTTTCAGATTAGCAAATCACGCATTCATCCTTCACCGAGTCCTGGAAGATGGATGGGCGACAATTGCAGAATAGGAAGGGTTGAAGGATCTAAGGATAAAAGGATTGAAAGCGCTCGAGGTGTGGGAACTGGCGTGATTCATTATGAACTCTCAGGCACAAATCAAGTCTCCAGGAAAGGGAAGGATCAGGACTACCGAGGCGGATCTCTGCGGCGGTACCGTTTACCACTGAGCTGCCGATGCCTGAATCACCAAACAGTCTGGCTCAGTTGGACTGGAGAATAGTGGTCATGTAAAAGGGTTTGATTATGTACATCATTTCTATACAGCCAATTTTTTTCTATTAGTTCATTTAATGGTATAGTTTTGAGAAATTCAGATGCTCCTTTGTGGTTTGTCACTGGACCTAAGAATATGTGACCATTGGATGTCCTTTGATTTGCTAAAGGGCTGATATTTTGCATTGGCAAAGCCGTTCTCATTCAAACCCTCGTCTTCGTATTGAGATACGCACTTTGGATTGTTGTTGCCGAGTGAATTTAATTCCAAAGAAATTGCAATAAAAGTTCTTTATCACAGATTGAAACGTATCATGGACTCCTGTATCGTGTCCTATGTGATGCAACATTTACTCCTCAAACAAATATGCAAATATCTTGGGGTATTGAAATTAAAGAAATGAAACTGATAGGTTGGTTTAAAGGTGACTTTATTCATTTCACTTGATGGAAAAGAATAGAAACTGCACATCAGTGATAGACTGAACACAAGGATGCCATAAGTTAATGTTGAATGTGTATGGTTTACTCGTTTTGATTGCATTAGATAGATTTCGTTATATTAGGAACTACTCAACATTCAGTTGTTTTAAAAGATTACTTTCCTAAAACTGTGTCAAGAAAATTACGTGAATAAGGGGTTTATAGTACCCAAACTTAATATTAGAAGTAAAATAAAACCAATTAACTAACCATGTGATATGTTTAATCTATAAAGGTTATGCTATATGATGCTTTGTTTGAGTTTTACCAAACAAAACAGTTCACTTTAAAACATTTTGGCAGAGGTGAAAATTGCTAAAACTTCAAAACAGCCTTAAAATCCAGAGATTTCAGAAGCGGCAAAGACAAATTGGTAACTCATAGTAAAAGCATAACTAAGTTTCAATGTTTTTCCTATATAAACCAACGATGCAAAAAGTATTTATAGTTTAGCGAGGTTTGTTTCTAGCGTAACCGGCTGCCAAGTGCCGTAAAGGGGCAGAATTAATTGCCACAATTAGCAACAATGGGCTGTAAATACTGCAGAGAATGTCGACTAAGAATGCCGCCATAGAGAGATCGGGAAATTCCGTCTGTCTTCGGAAATCTTCGGAGCCTTCGGGAGGGGTTATTGGGACCATTAAACAACTAATAAATTCCAAATAGGGAACGTCTTTGAAAACCTGTTCTCCTGTAGATGAGGTGGTAAAATCCTGGTGTGAAAATTGTACACGCTGTTTGTTTGGTGCATCCAGAAATTCTGGGATATGGGAATGACAAAGTTCTGAACACTTGAGCCCTGAAAAAAGGAAATCCTTCACTTCAAAATTGTATTTCTTGGTCAACTTCTGTTTAGTAAAATGATCGGCTCCCATCTCGTTGAATATTTTACAGGTTTTTTTCTGTATAGTGTATGGACATCTATGAATGTATATTCATGAAAATTGTGCATAGACAAATTCAGTAACATAGAACATAATAATTACACTGCAATACTAGAAGTTACATTTCCATATTAATGTTTTGAGGTGACTTATAATATGAAGGAAATACGATGACCATTCAACTGTGTTCTATGAGGAATCTGCTGCAGCAGAACCACAAGTACAGGAACGGATTCAGTGTGTCATGGCAATGATGCTACACAATACAACAGTATCTGTCTTATCGTTAAACATTTTTAATTGGCTGATTCAAGCTACATTATGGTACTTACCATACTAACTACACAATACAACCAACCCAAAATTTTCTTTAAGACTAGTACTTAGCCTATTTAGTATAGCATATATTGTTGTTAGTTTGCTTTATGATGTCCACCTGTTTTCATGGTCAGAGTTATTTTTATCAAAGAATAACTAAATTTAAATATTACCTTCGTCAGCCAGTTCCTATATTGTTATCAACGTTACAGCCATTTCAGCACCACTGTGCCATCATCAGACTGTTCAGCCAAAAGGCGTCGTTATCTGGCAGAACAGTCTGATGATGGCACAGTGGTGCTGAAACGGCCGTTTTGGCAACAATACAGGAGCTGGCTGACGAAGGTGATATTTCAATTTAGTTATAAAACCAGCTCAGGGGCTAGAAAATATGGATTATAAAAGAGTAACAGTTGTACTTTTTCTCAGCTATTTGTTAAAATGTACTATTTTTGTTCCAGAAATGTACAAAATGTGGCTGCTGGTACTGGCGATGACGCTCGCAGTTGAAGCATTTCCAAGGAGATTCAGAAGAGAAACGGAAACTCCTGAAGAACCCAAAAAATCCTCAGATCACAGAAGGGGCAAAGCCCTTGGCTACTACCAGCCCTCGTATATGAACAACCCCGTGATGTTTGACCCCTCAGGGCTTCTCCAGTACGAGGATGCCCTTGCAGCCGCTCTCGCTTCAGCCACCTACTCAGAAGGAGGGGAAAACGAGGAGAACGAAATCCTTTCAAGGATGCGTCCTGGGTCGAAGAAACCTGGAAACTCTCCGATCTACTACATACGGCTTCCACCTACCCCTTACATCTACATCCCCGGGGTCGGCTACGTCTCCAACCCGCCAACTCTTCAGCCACCACCGGTAGTCCAGAGGAGGCCTGACTCACAATTCCTCAACGTGCCTGTCAGATTCGTCTCCAACGGGAAGCCAACTGGAGTGTACACACTCGAAAACGATCTGGGTTACAGTCAGTCATCGTCCCCACCTAAGGATTCTCCCATCACTACTTTAGACAAAGGTCCTTACGTCTTCAACGGAAGACCTACTGATATCTACTTGCTGAGGGATGCTTACAATTCACTCTACGCTGATGCCCTGACAAATTTCTATCCTTGATTACGAGAATGTTGAGGACTTTTGTTGTGAGACAAAAATCTTTGTCACACTTACGAAAAAACTATGAGTGTTGATTTTAAAATGTACAGTACCGGTACTGTAAAATAGACAATTCTGTTTGATAAAAACATTCTTAAAAATATTCAATAATTTACAAAAATTTTTAATTCTTCAATTTTTTGCAACTCTTTTACAATCTCTTTTGAAAACCCTTTGAAATTGACAAACTAATTGACAAAAATCTAACAACAATAATTCCTTGTCGGCTCCTTTTGAAATTAATTCCAACGATCGAATGGAAATGGACCTGTCAATAGGCATTATCCCTTTCTCGACACCTAATGGTAATTGTGGTCTGTCAACGGTCGCGATTTGTGGAATCGTAGCCAAAGGTTGGAAAAATGACTCCTGCAAATTGTAGGCGTCTGGAGTCTAATGATGGGGAAAGTGGAAGCTCAATTCCGGGAGCAAGATTGAAGCAATTAGGAGGAACTAGTTCTGTGACCTTGGCAAGGCCTTGACCTCGCGAGGCGGATTATCGACCCATCGCACTACTGAAAACATTTCGAAAGTTTAACAAAATCTAGATTTCTTTTTACATCTCCAGATGTTTATAGCAGGTTCGGAAATCCCAGGAATAGTAGGTACGGATAGTAAATTATCGGGGAATACGCAAATATATTTTTAGTTTCGCAGGTTTTTTTTATATTTTCAAACGTGGTTAGATGAATGAATAATGTAACTACCTATGCTGATCTTTTCTTTTTCTTTATTTCAGAATAAATATTAACATACAATGCAGATATTTTAATAATAATTTTGCATAGGAATACATAATAATTAGAAGGTATAATATACTGTTCATTAAATTCCAAAATGTAACATTAATGTTGATATTGTTTATGGTTACTAATGTAAATTTGAAGCTCGATGTGGTATAACACGAGATTTCAATTACAGTAATGGTATTTTCATGATTAGAGATTAGGTACAGAACGTCAAGTATGAGAGTTTAGAGTGACATGTTGTATGTAGCTGTATATTTATTATGTATGTAGTTCATATTGAAATCTTTGTATATTATTATTGTACAATAGGCCTTCTTTTTTTCGTAGTATTTTAGTATGATGTAATTCAACATTCACGTTTAAGTAGTTTAAGTTATATCAGAACGATCATTAGTACAACTAAAACTAATTATTCTATACAACAAAATTTCAAAATAGTAACTTTTTTAGAACATGTAAGCATATTTAACAAGTATTAATCATTTTCAAAGTAACTTATTAGCCATAAGAAATGAAATTAGATTCTATGGACTATTAAGATTTAGTTTTACTAATTTAAGTGTATTTATTTATTCTTTCTTACATTGTCGTAAGAAACCTATTTATTCATGTTAAATAAATATTTATAAGACTTCCATATTGTAAATCAAATATATTTTTATGGTTAACTAGAACTAGTTGTTCTAGTCGTAAGCGTGTAAATTGTTTGTGTTTAGTTGTTATTGTGTTTGTAATATACAAGGTATTAATTGTTTCCTGTTGTTTCTTTTATCCTGATTCTTTTGACCAAACAAACATTCCAGTATTAGTCTGTTTTAATGTTGTGTTTTAGCTATTTCGATAGCTAGGGGTTAATTTGTGATCGAGCTCGCTAATCAATCAAATTAGCTTTATTCACTTTATGCATTTTATATAGGCTCCATGAATAGTGTCAAAGCATACAATATTGGTTATACAATTTAATCTAAAAAAAAACCTAACCATACAATTTGACAACTATTTTAGGATGGATAGCTAATTCATTTTTTATTTAGAAACTCATCTATTATATATAGGGAGCCAGATTGATTTTAGTTTCTTCGAAAATTAGGGTTGTTTTTATCTTTTTCACCGACTTCTTATCCTTAATGTGTATCTTTCACTGTAATGGCCTGTTTTTGTAGTTTTGAAACCTTCTTCAAATCTTTCAAGTTAAAATGTTTGTTGCTGTCTCACCGTAAATTTCGATTCCATAACCAATATGACATTCTATAAGCGAGTGGTATATCATTTTTAACACATCTTAATCACAGAGATAAGCTATTGATCTTAAAACAAACAAGTCAGAATTAATTTTACCATCCAAATACTTAATATATCCATTGCAATTTAGATGTTCGGCAATTATTATCTAGCCAAAAGATTTGGTTGATTTCACTTGATTGATCGGGTTATTATTTAAAGTAATTTTAAGGGTTTTATATTTTTTTATCTTATTTGTATGAAAAAGAACAAAATTTGTCTTGTTTGTATTTAGTGTTAAATTGTTGATTGTTAAGAATTGTTCATTACTTTTGAGCTCCAATTCAGTAGAATTTTTAACATCAGTAATTGAATTACAAGAAAGTTTTAAGATTGACATCATCAGCATATATACTTAATGTACTAACTGACTCAGTCAATGCATTTGGGAGGTTTCTAATGTAGCCTATAAATAAAATAGGGCACAAAATAGAACCCTGAGGGACACCTAGATGCATTTGTAGTAAATCTGATTTTGTCTTCTGTATCCAATTGTTTTTTGATAAGTAAAAGAGTTCTACAATCAATCAACTTGATCAGAAAGTCAGCAACTTACTGATGATTCTAAACTAGACCTAGCCATCCATGATCGATCCATTTATTTATCGTGGCTGATGAAACGGTAGATCTCACAGTAAAATACAAACACAGATCAACCATTTCATTCCACACTCACCTCCATTAGATTAAAATATCCCATGTACACCACTTGCCGAAGCGGTTCTGCACACGCACAGTGCACAGTTCTGCACAACTCTTCTGCAGGTCTGCAGGCTGTTCTCCGATCACAGCTGTAAACTTGTGCTGTTAAGTGGCCAACCGGTCCTAGGCCAATAAAATGGGGGATAAAACTCCAAATGGTCCTTCGACAAGCGACAGAACGTAGACACAACCAGGGTTATACATTCACTTAGCATTTTATAGGGAACATATTTAATTAGCATTCACGGTACCTAAACATTTCCTTGTACAAGAGGTTGTTGGATTTTCCTGCATCGTAAATTCATAATTCGATGGAGGTTAGATTGCATTCTGTGAGATGCACTAGGGATTCGGTATCTTGATCGAGCAATTTTGCCGATTTAGTATGTACAAAGTGCAGTACAAGATAACACGATTTTTGAAATCTGGAAGCTTACAATGCTTTACAGTTCGATTTTAAAGTAAACTAGCTTAAAACTTTGGTACAGGAGTCTATTGCTAAGCTGAACACAAATAAAAATTATGAATTGTTTAAACTGTTTATTTCTACGGACACAAGGGTTCCCAAAATATTCTTGTGCTAAAACAAATTGATCAGTGGAGAAAAATTTTCAACTGCTTTAAAAAGTTTCAAATCAAAAATAATCTCACACTTAGAAATGCTCTAAAATAAATTGAAAAATCTGTAAAAAGTACTTTAATCTATTTTCTACTCCATATCTCAAATGTAATACTCAAAACTGAGAACATCCTTACTGAGATTAGGCCAAGACCCTTACCAGGCACAATGGCTGTTTAATACGCGAGGAGGAGGTCAAAGGTGAGTTAGACCTCAACTGGAGGTTGTACATGTAATGACTACGTACTATATAAATATTACGCAGGGTCAGGGGTCATGGGCCTGGATGGTTGTGTCTTCATCTTGAACTCTCTATACACTGTCTTCACTTTATAAAGCTCTTTATCTTGAGTGTATTTATCGTAGCCGCCATTGTCTTCATTTCATGTCATCTTGTATACAAAAAGTTGGTCTTCATCCTAGATATCCCTTGTGTTATACTACTCTTTATCCTAGATACAAGCATCGACTATTGGATACTGAAGTAGTCATCCCATCTATATGGAACAGTTGTCGCAATTTTTTTAAAGAACATAGTTATGTAAACCAGTCACAGAATGCGCTAGAGTCTAAAATTCCATTTTCTACCTTATTTATTTATTTTCTGACCAAGTAGATGGGTCAAAAGTTGCTATAGCTCACCATAAGTCATTCCATTAAATTGTCTTTTTTTTTAAGTTCATATATTCCACAGAAATCAGTCATTTAGGTCAGCACAATCTATCGGTGGCTCGCATCAACTAAGACAATTTTGATTAAAGAAAACTAGTAACAACTTTAACTAGTAGTATTAATAGTCAAATATACAAGGTTCCGTCTTAGTTTTGAATGCTCCATAGTCTCTCTCCATTATATTTTACTTTATCTTCTGTAAAAGGGTTGTCTTCATCTTAGACTGTCAGAGACTTCATTTTAAAAGTTTTCTTATTTTGAGTACAAATTTTGTTACATAAAATTCTTTGTACTAATTGTCTTCTATCTAAGTCATTCTTTATGTCCAATTATATAGACTCTTTACGCTAATCTTCATCATAAGAGCCTACTTAATGCTTTCTTAGTGCAATTTGGGTGAACTGCAGTTTTTCATATCATGGAATCTTTGTATGAACACAATTGTCCACTTGGAATTTAAACAGATTGTCTCGTTATTCTTCGTTCTTCATCTTGTGTACTGGGTCTCTGTAGTATTCAAGCAAAATGGTTCTTCAATTTGAACTATTTCCACACTGTCAAAATTCTCTACTGAGTTTTTCATTTGTTAATGCACTGTAAGCCACTTCACTTGAGACATTCCTCAAGTGTTGTATTGACTCTGTACATTTTGTCTTAGATACTTTAAACTATTTTTTTACCGTTATTGTTTATTATAAGTGGGTGCTCCATTTATTTCTACCTGAATTTTTCATTATCATAAAATCATTGTACGGATTTGCTTTTATCATTTTTTTTTAATCATTTCAAACATTCTGAGTGTAACAAAATTAAATGTCTCCACGTCTTCCGTATTACTAGCAAAGGCTTGTTTCGTGTCATTTACTTTTAAGTCTGTTCACTTAAATATTTAATAGTCAATGAACATTTTATCTTGCCTTAAAAGTGCTTTCCCATACAACTACTCCATGAATAAAGGTACTT